TTCTTCTAATATCTCTCTCTCTCTCTCTCTCTCTCTCTCTCTCTCTCGTCTAGTTAACTCCCCATTATAATTTTGCCCAAGCAGCCATTACATGTATTAACCCATTTAATTCCACAACATGCGTAGGGCCAGCATATTTATTTGACTGACGCCCCTCCCCCCCCACTAGCTGTTTTCCGGTCTCCAATGGCCTCCTTTTTTTGTCCCTTTAACATGCGAAGCCACTGTTGCCAAGCCTGTGCGTGTGCTCATCTTCATACGTGAAGTGACTTTCCTGTGAACGTCACGAGCCCACTTCGTGCATGAGTCCCAGCTCAGACGTCGCCTTCTCTGACTCCCCCCTCCCCTGTGGCTCATTGACCCCCCCTCAGTTTGCTTATGCGTAGCCCTCATCCAGACCCTGTGTTGACTCCTTTTTTTATTTTCCTTTGTGCTCCCTACGCAAAAGCAAAGCCATTCCCGAACATGCACTCGTTCCTGTTCACTGATGATTCCCTTCCTTGATTCATTTCTTCAACAAGTACTCCTTTTTAAATCTTACTCTTTCTTCCATGAGCAACAGAGAGAAACAGGCGTCCCCAACAGGGCGCTCATGCCGCGATCCATGCCAGCTCCCACCAGCCCTGGTCAACAGTGCATGCGCGTCTAGCACATACCAGGAGGCCTCTGCGTGCAAACCTGGACCTTCCGTGTGGGTCCAGCCTCGTAAACTGCTGATTCCTCTGCACCTCCTTCTGGCCCTTCGTTCAGAGAATGTTTACTGAGCACCTACTGCATATTTTCGAGAGACTGCAGAGGTAGTGAAGAAATCAGAAGAGGTTAGAGTCTGTATTCTTGTGGAGCTTACGTGCTCGTGGAGGGCAGAGGAGGAGGTCCCCCCTCACATTTCTGACACCAGATGTTGGGCTTCTGTCCCCTGTACCAGCTCTCCAGGAACAGAGTGTCCTGTCATCTAATTTCTGACACCCGCCATCCAGAGTTGGTGTCAAACACCACAGGTTTTAAAGGCTCAGGCCCCTAGGACTGCCCTGTTTCGGAAGCCAGTCACAAAGAGGCGGCCCCTAGGATGCCCACACCTCCCTCCTACTTGGCGAAAAGTCGGGGGTTCCTGCCACCCAGCCCCACCCAGTTCAATAATTTGCTAAACAAGCTCACAAACCATTTATTCACATTTACCAGTAGTCTTTTCCTTTTTAAGTTTATTTCATGAGAGAGAGAAAGACACTCTCAGGGTCTCACACCACAGTCTCCCCCTAGCCCCCCCAGCCAGCCAGGATGGGGGACACATGCCCAGAAGTATGGGTCTACCCAGGAGCCCGCCCTTGGTAGCCCACGCGACTCTAGGGCTGCAGAGCCTCGTGCTACCTCTGTGCCGTGAACGGGCTAGCGTTGTAATAAGGGGCGCTATAGACCTGGCCCCACAGCCTGAGCGTTACGGGGCCAAGTCCACATGGCCGACCATGATAGAAAGCCTAGCCATGAACACACCGAGTGCACGCGTGCTCACGGGCCAGGCTGGCTGAAGCTGGAGGTGGAGCGCAGTGTGAAGACACTGTTAGTCATCTCCCTCTCTCTACCCTCCTCATTTATGGGAGGGGACCAGCAGTTAGCATAATGGCTATGTCACTGGACTCCCATGTAGTTGACCGTGGTTGGAGTCCTGGACCCAGTGGCTTAAAACTCATGCTGGGCGCATGTGCGTGCGTGCCCAAGATCCCGAGAGGAGAATGGAGGAGAAGGGATTGCGGCATGGCCATCCCCCCTGGGGGGTGATTTCTCACTTTCTGTCTCTCTGTCTCTGTCTGGCGAGCACACGTGCCCTATAGCAGATACCTATAAAAAATAAAATAAGAAAAAAGAAAAGAAAAGAAAAGTGTTTCAGGACAAAAGTCTGTGAAGCTTCCAGTTTACTAACCTAGTGGCAAGGGTGCCAGCATGTGGGTGGAACAGCCAGGACCCGATGTGGCTGGAGCAGAGTGTTCGGAAATGAGTACACAGTGAGGTCAGAGGACACAGGGGACCAGGTCGTGCGGGGCGGCGGCCACCGTGCCGTCTGAGGGTTTCCCTGCATTTGGATGAGAGTCATGGGCAGGCCTTGAGCCCAGGAAGGCCACGGTTTGACTCATCTGGCTACTCCGTGGATAACGGGCTGAAGGGGGTGAAGGTGGAAGCGGGGATCCCCGTCAGGAGCTGCAGTCGCAGTCGGGCAGGGTGGTGACAGTGGCCGTGAGCAGTAGCCCCGGGAGATGGGGAGCTAGAGCAGTGTGGTTTCCTGATGGAGTGGGATGTGGGTGTGAGAGAGCCGGGGTGAGCCCCGGCGGCACTGTGCCCAGCACCCTCTGCCGCGAGGGGAGTGTTTAGGCATGCACCATCCAGTTGGGCTGTACCAGCGACACGGCCATGAAGCCTGTGATGGGCCCAGTGCGGCTGAGGGACGGATTTGTAACTTGGGTAGCTTTAGTTAGCTTGAATTAAATGGTCCCTGCTCTGCGACAACAGGAATCATAGAGGCTCGTGTCTAGGTGTTCTTTTATTATTATCATTGCTTGAAGTTGATTTCTTTCATGAGAGAGAGAATGAGGCACCCCAACAGGTCCCGACACATGATCCCCCCAGCCTCAGCCAGGATCCCGGGCGTCTGTGTGCCCAGTGTGTTCAGGGAGGTTCCCAGACGTGCACCCAGAATCCTCCACATGGGTCAAGCTCGCAGAGGGCTTACCACTGGGCCTTCACCTGGCCCTAGGTCCGGGTACTCTGAAGTATGGGTCACACCCTTGTTGCTCTCCTGAGGTTTCTGACTCTTCTATGAGTGAGAGCAAACCCCTGCACTCCATCTCCAGCCTCGGGCAGCCCAGAATTACGAACACACGTGCCTGGCATGTTCAGACAGGTCTCCAGACATAAACGCAGAACCCGCCCCATGGGCCAGCCTCTCAGGATGCCGTGTGACGGCTGCCCCTCTGCCCAGCCCCGTGTCTGGGCATTCTTGACTTGCATCACACTCTTAACTGTTTGCTTGGCTAGGAGCTCCTCGCAAACATGGCAAAGGTTGCGAAACTCACTGGTGCTTGGTAAATGTTTCTGTGGCTGACGGAAACGAATGGGGGTGTGAGTCGTCTCAGTGGTGATAGCTACTTGTGGACAGCACGGCCCAGCGCATTTGGCCTGAGTGGCCGGAATGACACCATTATTCACTGGTTGTTATTCACTGAGCTAGGCGTGCTGGAAGAGCAGGTGTATGGGAATTGGGGGAGGAACGAGGGAGGGGGAGGGATTAGAAGTTGGGGCTCAGGTGCCTATCAGGTGTCCGCATGGACATGTCTTGGAGGTGGTTGGATATACAAATCCAGAATTTGGAGGTGAGGTCTGGTCTGGAAATGAAAGTGGGCAAGTCCCACTGCAGACACAGAGCATGAATGAGGCCTTCCAAGCCCTAACCGAGGTGCACCCAGAGCAGGTGCAACCGAATAGCTGGAGAGGGAAGAGGAGGCTTCTCCAGTCATAAGCAGCCACTTGAAGGGGAGCCAGGGAGGACGACAGAGGGCAGAGAAAACAAGACAGCCATGGGGCCCGAAAGCCAGTGATGGAGCTACGAAGGGGAGCTGGTGACCGGCTGCTCAGGACCTGCATCAGGAAGTAGGAGGCCTGAGACATGGCCTTGGACTTCGCGGTGCGAATACCCTTGGAGAACTGGACAAAAGCAGCTTCCATAGAGCGGGGGTGGGGGCGGGTAGGAGTCGCCGTCATTAGTCAGAAGGAACATGCCAATCGAAACACAAGGAGACCCGGCTGTCCCAGGCTAGGGCCATAAGGGAGGCCTGGGTTCACTTCCTGGGCCAACCTGGACAGGCCTGGTGTGCTGGCACCTGTGTGTGACCCTGGCTGACAGGGACAAGAATCACAGTGGCGAGACCCTGGCAAAATTTCCTGTCCACAGAGACCAGGAGGGCAGCAGTTGCACAACTGGCCCCACGTGGAAAGGTGGTCCGTGGACTCCAAGGTTTCTGGAGCACGCAGAGCACATGCATAGACACCCATGACCCAGGCCAGCCGAGACTCGGAGTGGGCATGGTGTGCAAATCCTATGGAGGATGGTGCCTTTCTCATTCTTTCTCTCTCTCCCTCTCACAGAAAAATATTATTAAACTTTTTAAATTCACTTAAAAATATTTTAAAACCCTATGTTATTTTTCTCCCCCCTCCTTTTTGTCTCTCTAAAAAATAAATTAAAAACCCATGATGAGGGACCAGCAGTTAGCGTAATGGCTGTGTCGCTGGACTCCCACGTAGTCGACTGTGGTTAGAGGCCTGGATCTGGTGGCTTAAACT